GTGTGTTGCTATTTGATCGAGTTCTAGGAGTCGCTCTGATACGTAACATGGGATGGCGGGATTACGTTATATTTTGCTTATTTTCTTGATTAATTGTTACGTATCTTTTATTTATTGGATTGAGGATGTATGGTCACCTTGTGGTGGAGATTATGTTTAAACAATTGACTTTATTCCGCTGTTTAATTGAAAGCTAGATATCATTGGTTTAATTATGAAAGATGAAGTGACTTAGTGTGACATCCTACTTGTTTTGAGGACTCTGATGTACTTTTATGAAATATTTCCGTATATGTTTTATAATACGCGTACGGGGTAGAGTGGGGTGTTACAAGGCGCAATTTAAACATTATGCAAAATTTCCACAACAAATAAATTGAGCAATATCGGTGAGGCTTAGGTAAATAGAGACACATTTACACAAATTTAATTTTACCTTTTTGCAATATTTTAATCATATCTAGGTTTCTAACTTCAATTGAAGTGAAATTTGAGGCAAAACAAAACCAAATTTCATGAAGACTTTAAAATGAATGAAAATAATGAGTAAAAGACTGACAATACTATAATGCTTAAAGGTAAAATAAGTTATTCGTTAAATCCGAAAAGCCCATTACAATGTCTATTTAATAAAAAGTAAGGAAAGGGTTCCAATTGTCCAATTTTGTCTCTAATTTTGGTACCAAGGAAAAAAAGAAACAAAGGCTATAATTAGAGAAATATCATTAATCATTAGTAACTTTCGTAATTCATTTTTCATTGTAACCACCATGGATACCTTAAGGATGAGTGATTTGTTCTCTTAAATTAGGTTCTCTCTGTGTGATTCTACCATAAATATGTGATCTATGTAATTTTCATGATTACATATGTAATGAAATTATGTTTTATAAATATATAGTTTTACCCGAGTTTAATGCTCTCTCCGATGTACAAAATTTGGAGAATTGATTTAGATGGAAATTGAGACTTAACGGTGAATTGCTCATTCGATTGGTAAAATTTTGAGATTGTAATAATCGTTTGTATCACGACAATGATATTCTTGACCATTAGTTTAGTTTTACGCAATATAAAACCTTCTCTAATTGTAATTGAAGACTCCCAAATATTAGAGGGTTGCTTTCGGCAAAATGGGTATCCTTGAGATTGAAGACTACTAGATGTTGAAAAGTTGCGAGGTTGTAATTTCATATTTTGCAAAACATTATTCATATTTATATGCTATAAAACCTTTTTCAATTGTGATTGAAGACTCCTAGATGTTTGAGGTTGCTTTTGGTGAAACGAATATCGTTACAATTAAATACTCATAGATGTTGGGAGGTTTCGAAGATGTAAATTTGTATTTTTTAAAACATTATTCTTATTTAAGTTCTATAAAACCTTCGCCAATGGCGATTGAAGACTCCCAAGTGCTAGGGGTGTTTCATGCAAAGCGAGTATCTTTACGATTGAAGACTCCCATATGTTGGGAGGTTGCGTGGTTGTAATCTGTGTTTTTGTAAAAGGTCGTAGTTAAAACAAAGTAATGATAAGTTCAATAATGAGATTACCCACATATAGGGGTGGGAAGTTTTACCCCATACCCCTACACTTATACCTATACCCCTACATTAAAAAATTTTGGACCAAAATATCCTCGTATAAAAATTTATTATTTTTTAATTCTTTTAATATTTTTTTATTTGTTTACCGAAAGACTTTTTGGAAGTCTTCCGGTTCACATTTTTTTAGTATGTTTACCGGAAGACTTTTTGGAAGTCTTCGGTAAATATTTTTTTTCGTTTGTTTACCGGAAGACTTTTTGGAAGTTTTCCGATTCATGTTTTTTTTTTAATTTGTAATTAATATTTAAGATTTATTAATTTTATATAAAGACCAATTTAGTAAATTTTTGAATATTATACTTAAAATATAAAAATTCTATAAATAGAGAATCATTTTCAGAATATTTTCTATTTACTATAATTATTAGAATACTAGGATTAAAATCATTTATTTTAAATGATCATAATAGTAGAATTTTCTCAAATATCTTATTAATCTTAAACATTAATAAATAAAATAAATTTAAATATAAGATATAAGTTTACATTATTCAATATATTTAATCAAATGAAAACATATGTGATAAATAAATAATGTATTTTAACTTAAAATGATCACAATAAGTTAACTTGCAAAATAATATAAGTAATAAATTAATAATGTATTTTATTTAAAATAATCACAATAATAAAATACGCAAATAATGCGTTTTATTTATAGGACTATATAGTTTTATTGATTATTTAATTTTGAATACTATTATGAATATAGTATTTAATCTATACTTTAGAACTCACATAATTATAAATATAAAAAATATTGTTTTATTACCCATATTTTTATTTAATTAAAAAAAATAAGAATATAAATTTATTATTTATTTTTCATTTTTGTTTGATCTTTTTAATTATTTCACTTTGTTTAATATTTTTAATAAAATAAATAATATATTTTATTTAAAGTAAGCACAGTATAGAATATGCAAAAAATTTATAAATAAAAAAAAGATCAAATTACTATTTACTATAATTATTAGAATACTATGATCAATTTACTATAAATAGAATATTTTCTATTTACTATATTTTCGTTTGATCTTTTTTTTATTTATAAATTTTTGCATATTCTATACTGTGCTTACTTTAAATAAAATATATTATTTATTTTATTAAAAATATTAAATAAAGTGAAATAATTAAAAAGATCAAACAAAAATGAAAAACAAATAATAAATTTATATTCTTATTTTTTTTTAATTAAATAAAAATATGGGTAATAAAACAATATTTTTTATATTTATAATTATGTGAGTTCTAAAGTATAGATTAAATACTATATTCATAGTAGTATTCAAAATTAAATAATCAATAAAACTATATCAGTCCTATAAATAAAACACATTATTTGCGTATTTTATTATTGTGATTATTTTAAATAAAATACATTATTAATTTATTACTTATATTATTTTGCAAGTTAACTTATTGTGATCATTTTAAGTTAAAATACATTATTTATTTATCACATATGTTTTCATTTGATTAAATATATTGAATAATGTAAACTTATATCTTATATTTAAATTTATTTTATTTATTAATGTTTAAGATTAATAAGATATTTGAGAAAATTCTACTATTATGATCATTTAAAATAAATGATTTTAATCCTAGTATTCTAATAATTATAGTAAATAGAAAATATTCTGAAAATGATTCTCTATTTATAGAATTTTTATATTTTAAGTATAATATTCAAAAATTTACTAAATTGGTCTTTATATAAAATTAATAAATCTTAAATATTAATTACAAATTAAAAAAAAAACATGAACCGGAAGACTTCCAAAAAGTCTTCCGGTAAACAAAAGAAAAAAATATTTACCGGAAGACTTCCAAAAAGTCTTCCGGTAAACATACTAAAAAAATGTGAACCGGAAGACTTCCAAAAAGTCTTCCGGTAAACAAATAAAAAAATATTAAAAAAATTAAAAAATAATAAATTTTTATACGAGGATATTTTGGTCCAAAATTTTTTAATGTAGGGGTATAGGTATAAGTGTAGGGGTATGAGGTAAAACTTCCATAGGGGTGAATTATTCTGAAATGACCTACTATTACGAACTAACGTTTGTATTAACAAGTACAATTTGCAGATCTATGTGCTTGCAAGTACAACTTTTATGCAACCGTTAGACGATCTTGTATGTTTTGATGAAAACAACACCTTATGTCAAATTACATTCGGTAAAATCTTTGGTGACAACTTTTCAACAATCTTTAATGATGATTTCCGATTAAGAAGTTATCTTAAGTCTTATAAGTTTGAAGAGTTAAGTTCTAGTTGAAGTGTTAATTAATGTTGAATTAAGCAAGGGAATTTGAAGTTTCAAAATTGTGAAAGATATGAAGTGTGAAAATTTGTCTAATCATGTATTTAGCGTGTGATTGGGCACATACACGCACGCACGCGCACGCGCACGAACAATATTAAGTGAAGAAAGCTACTAACAAATATAATAAAGTGAAAAGTAAACACCTCTTTTTTCCTAATAGAAACAAATTCGAAACAATATTTGTATTAGTGATGAGCACACTATTTTTGTGTTAGCTAAAGTGTGTGGTTCACTTGAATATGCGTTCTGCATGGTCTTAAAGTTTTTGAATAGTTTCTTTCCTATGAAAATGATTTTATAGAATTTAGTGACATTAACATCGTAAGCAGTATTCTTTACAAATTCTAACAACTCTAATGTTAAATTCAATGTGATTCAAACTAATAACTTTGTTTATATAATCTAGTTAAAGTGATCATGTCTCCGACTAATTCTTAAATATTAATAAAAATATCACATTGTATTGAACCCGTTTTGAATAACAATATCATATAAGCCTTGTTTTATTTATAAAAAAAATAGTAAATCAAACCTATTATTGTTAAAAGAAAAGAAAGATCAAACCAGTTTTTCCACCTAACTCTAACACTCGTTAACAAATAAATAAAGTCATATAATTGTCTTTGTTTCTATAGGCAATTTAGTAATAAGTTTAACGATTCTATTTAATTAGAATTTAATTTGATAAATATTTTATAAGACGATATTTGACTATAATTTATTCTTAATAATTTAGAAACTTTGTCCAATACGTTGCACATTCTCAAAAATGACAGGGTATATACATAATATATTTATATATAAAATATAATAGCCTTTGTTGAACACCCTTGAATGCTGACCAATCTTATTTAACCCACAAGTGTTGAGGAATGATCACTGGTACAGTAGATGTGGGGCAGAGGCATGATATGATATCCACACATAACAAAGGATGGCACCTCTGCCAATGAGAGAAGATTCTATTGGATAATAACAACAACACGATATATGAGATTCAAAACTAATTCACCATTCTCATTCCCACCAAATCATCCATTCATCCTTCAAAGCCATGCCAATGGATGTTTTCTCTCTCACTTCAACTACCATTCCCTCCACTCTCACACGTAGACACACTGCACCAGCTGATAAACCTTCCCGTCATCTCAAACTTTCCAAATACTCACATTTCATCAGGTACCCTCTTATCCCAACACTCACCAACAACAGAATCTGCACTAGCAATAGCCTAAGAGCTCAAGCTTCAGGTGATAAACATGATCCAATTCTCATGCTTGTGTGTGTGTGTGTGTTTTTGACATGTATGAATGTTTAACATGTGTGTTTCTTCCTTCAAGTTTCAACAAAATCTAGTACTGCTGAGGGGATTCCTGAGAAAACAGATTCCAAGGATGATAATCTAGTTTTTGTTGCTGGTGCTACTGGAAAAGTTGGTTCAAGAACAGTCAGGTGCATTTTCATTTTTCACATTTTGAGATAGAAACTTTTGTTTGCGAAATTCTGAGCAATGATAGTTTCATTCAGGGAGCTTATAAAGCTTGGTTTTAAAGTTAGAGCTGGAGTGAGGAATGCTCAGAAAGCTGGTGCACTGGTTCAGGTTAGGGTGATTAATTTACGACTAGTAGTAATAATTCACTTCTTGATATGCATTAAAGATATGAATATATGATATGCAGAGTGTTAAACAATTGAAGCTTGATGGTGCAAGTGGAGGGGGTGAAGGTAAGCCGAGAAAGTTTTTCGCATTAACAAAGATGCTGCTGTGTTGGATAACAGAATGTTTTTGGTTTTTAGCCCAGCTGTAGAGAAGCTTGAAATTGTGGAATGTGATTTGGAGAAGCCGGATCAAATTGGATCCGCTTTAGGGAATGCATCAACGGTGATATGTACTATTGGTGCTAGTGAGAAGGAAATTTTCGACATTACTGGACCTTGTCGAATCGATTATAGAGCTACCAAAAACCTTGTTGATGCTGGTAACAATAGCTTTCTTTCATTATGATTATGTTCAATGCTATTTGTTTTAGGCCTAAATGTTAAAAACAGTTTTTTTGTGTGTTTATTCTGTCATGGTGCTACAGCAAGTGTTGCCAAAGTAAATCACTTCATATTGGTTACTTCATTGGGAACAAACAAATTTGGGTTTCCTGCCGCTATTCTCAAGTGAGTCTGAATTCTGAAACCTTTCTCGAGCAGTAGTTATATTTTCGTGTTTGCGTAGTAAAGAAGTTGAACTGATTGATTAGTTCTATTTCTATAGTTTATTTTGGGGAGTCCTGATTTGGAAAAGGAAGGCGGAAGAAGCATTGATAGCAAGTGGAATTCCATATACAGTAAGTCATTGTAATAGCGTCGAAGTGCAGCCTATGTATGGTTCTAATTATCTTATTATAATGCCATTGTTATGTTATGTCACTGTTTTCAGATAGTGAGACCTGGTGGCATGGAGAGGCCGACTGACGCTTACAAGGAAACGCATAATGTAACTCTATCAACCGAAGATACTTTATTTGGGGGTCAAGTTTCAAACCTTCAGGTACATGTAAAATGTACTATTCGTGTATGCAACTATCTAGTTAAGATATTCTAATGGTTAAAAGTACAATAGTTCGGAGAGAGAAACTACTTACGTTGGGATTGTGACAAACTCTATGTAACTTTCTAAAATTTGTGGATATATTTTGACTTGAGGTTTAAGCAATTATAGAGATTCCATGGGCCTGGCTAGAAAGCGGTTTTCACCATTGACTGGCATTACTAGACCGTTATCTCCCAAACACCTTAGAAGCAATGTGTGTTATATGAGACAGATCAAGGGTGTCGAAGCCCATTTGGGCGACCTGCAATGCGCATTGGGCAATGGGCGTCCACCTTGCCTTATGAGCTTCGAGCGACCTGCTCTACTCAGGACGCTTCGGGCGACCTGCAATGCGCATTGGGTGCCCACCTTGCCTTATGAGCTTCGGGAGATCTGCTCTACTTAAGATGCTTCGGGTGACCAACTCTCATTCAGGCGCTTCCCCCACATTACTTAGTTCAGAGTGCTCCATCAAGGACCATTTTTTTTAGGCCCAATAAAATTATCTCAGTCTAGATATATAGATATATGGAAGTTGATAACTCTCTCAATGCAGGTTGCTGAACTCATGGCAACCATGGCCAAGAATCCCGATCTTTCGTACTGTAAAATAGTAGAGGTCATTGCCGAGACAACTGCGCCACTGACACCTGCCGAAAAACTTCTTACAAAGATACCTTCTCAACGCCCTTACATTTCTTCGCCTAAGGTAAGTACTGCCTTATATAATACATTTTATGATGTATATTTATAACTTAATCAAAACTTTGTCAATTGATTATTTGTCTTATTTAGACGGTACAGAAAGCAGATACAGCAATTGTCAGTAATACAGGTCCCTCTGCAAATGTTGTAGCAGAAGTACCTAGTACTGCCCCTCCAAAAGAAACAGCACAACCAAAACCAGTGGCGAAAACGGAACAGCCACTTTCTCCTTATACCGCGTAAGCGAGATTGCTAATTTTTGTTGACAGTAAATATTTTAATGTGGACCAGTTGCAAAATAACTGATTTGGTATATACATTTTCAGTTATGATGATTTAAAGCCACCATCATCTCCTTCTCCAACCAAGCCTAGTGAGAAGAAACAGATAAACATTAGTGATGCAATTCCAACACCTATTTCTTCAGATACTCCAAGTAGCATTCAAGAAATAGATGGCGTTTCTCAGACAACATCTTCCTCAAAAGGGAAGGAGTATCTATCTCCTTACGCAGCGTAAGCCACTCTCTAATTTTATGGTGGTATCATCATATATCAGTACAAACATCACAGATTAGATTTGAACTTTTTCTTGTGTTTATAGATATCCTGATTTAAAGCCTCCTAGTTCACCATCTCCGAGTGTACCAACTACATCACTATCGAAGTTAGATACAGTAGTATCAAGCAATGGACCGGCTCAACTTTCTGTGGAAGATACACCAAAGGATGATGGACAGCAGCACCTTCATGAACCAAAGTCAAGACCACTTTCACCTTATGCAATGTAAGTTGATTCTGATTCCAACTCGCCTTCAATATTTCTTATTTGGATCGTCGTGAATGTAGTAGGACTCTGATATTATTATGCAAATGAACTTTTCAGGTATGAGGACTTGAAGCCTCCTGCTTCACCATCACCTTCCTTCAGAAAATCCTAGGAACTGCTTCCAGCCTATGGAATCAGACAAGGTTAGAAATACAAAATATTATATGTAAAGTATATATACACTTGATTATATACACTATACTGGATTCTTGATTGTGATATAACTGTTGTGGATCAAATAGGGTTGTTTTATTGAAGAGTTTATGCAGCAACACATATGGAGGATTGTAACTCAAAGTATGAGGATCGAAGCGTTTATGAATGGAAATTTTCATGCCATTTATTTCTTGATAACCTTTTGAGGATGGTCACTCAAAGAGCACTTTTGTTTTTATATGTATAATTTACTTTTTCCATATGTCTTATAAGTTCAGCACGCAAAGCATTCTAAATACCAAGATTTTTCACAAAACACTCGAGAGTAACTGCACTACTATCTCGAAAAATATCACTAACAAGCAGAAAGACCATAACAATCTCTGACAGTGCGATAAATATCACTACTATTGATGATTTTTCTCAAATCAATTGGACATTTTTTATGAAAAGTTATTTAGATGTTTTCTCAACATTTCAAACCTTATGTTCAGAAGTAAACACATAGTATAGTATGATATCCAAATTAAAATATTGCAAGTGATAACATTTGTGAATAAATATTTGTGTTAGAACAATTACGCGAATACATATCAAATTAGAGAGAAATGCACAAAGACTTTGCTCACGCATTTTGGTCAAATTATCTACGTCTGCGACTATAAAGCAGCTATAATTATGTCTTATTGATTTGTTCTGAATTTCACACATTAGGGTTTTAGTGTTACAAGCATATATAAGGATACAAATGATCCAGATTACAACAACATTTGCTTTAAGCAATGATAGCAAAAAGCTTCCACGGTAGGATATTATGCTTGTCCAAAATTTAATAGAATAGTTTCTGCAACTATATATGAATAAAGATGACATAGTTAAAACACCGTTGACTCGGGCAAAGATAGATCCCATATTTCACGCAATTCGGTCAAATTGTTTACGTCTGGGGATTCATCCCTTGCCCACCTGGCATTGCCCATGAGTCAAACTTAACTATCTCTATCTTAATGAATATCAAACCCCTATGAATATTAACTACATAATGTCATATCCTGGCACCTGAGTGTGTGTAGTTACTGCTTAACACTGAAAAACATATAACAAGTCCAAATAGTATTTGAACTTGTCACTGATGAATATTTTGGTCAACAAATCATCTACATTCTCTAAAGTATGAACCTTCTGAAATAATATATGTCTAGATGCCACGAATTCCTTGATTTTGTGGAGCCTCACATAAATATGTTTGGTTCTAGCATTATACACCTAATTGTTCGCTGAATAGGGAGCATTCTGACTATCACAATGTAACTGAACTCCACCTTACTTAACATTAACTCTTTCTTTAACCTTGTAGGCCACATTGTTTTCTTGCCAGCTGTCGTACCTCGAAAAAAGCACGATCCTTCGCGAATGGTCGCGGAAAATAGAGTCGACACCGAACTTTATTTATCCCAAAGAGGAAAAGGAAAATATCGATAAAACCTTTAGGGAAAGAACATAGTCATCGCAACCAAGTTTTAGGTTTGGGAGTCGGTTACGTGAGGGGAAGGTATTAGCACCCCTCACGTCCGTTGTATTCAACGGAAACCTCTTGATTCGATTCGTGAGAAATGTTAGGTTAATTAGTTTGTTTTCTTTCTAAGATAAAAGGTAAGGTAAAAGGATTTAGATTGCTAAGGAAGAAAAGGGGTTGGTTTTAGATTAGAGTGTTCGCCAAGGATTAGGGTCCTTGTGCCTACGTATCTTCACTTGTAAGAAGTGAAAAATCAGAGCATCCGTAGTTCAGAGGACTACAGTAGAAAAGAGAGGAGGTTGCTCGCTAGGATCTCGCAATCCTACACCTACGTATTCTCATTGACAAATGTGAAATTAGAGCGTCTGTAGTTCGGACGATGTTGTTTTGATATTATCGAAAGATACTTAGTCGCATTCGACAGAAAATATTGTTTTACCCAAACGGGTGAGGAGAGGACGCTTGCATCAATTTGAATGGATTTTCATATATCAACATTCATGGGAAACACACCACTTATTTCGACTCAAATAGGTTACGGACGAAGCAATATTTTGCGTCGTCTCAAGACACCATATCTTACGTTTATGAAAAGGTTTGACGGTTCGCACGACGATGAGAAGTTGAATTAATGTGTTGATGTTTTGTTTGGGTGGTGATTACTTGAAGCTTAAGAAAGGCTCCTCGGGCCCAAGTAATCGGGATAGTGGATAAAGACTTGACTCTCTCTCTTTTCCATCTTGAAAAGAGGGTGTGATTAAGAAATATTTTGAATGATAAGTGGATAAAGTATTTTGAAGCGGATGACGATTACTTGAAGTTTAAGATAAGCTTCTTGGGTCCAAGTAATCGGGAGAGTGGGTCAAAAACTTGACTCTCTCTCTCTTTTCATCTCGAAAAGAGGTTGTGTTTGAAAGTGTTTTGAACGATGGAAGATAGTTAAAGTATTTTAAATCGGATGAAGATTACCTGAAGCTTAAGAAAGGCTTATCGGGCCCAAGTAATCGAGAGAGTGAGTCAAAGACTTGACCCTCTCTCTTTTCCATTCTTAATTATGAAAGAGTTTTGATATAGTTAGAGTAAGTTACGAATGACGATTACTCGAAGCTTAAGATTGGCTCCTCGGGCCCAAGTAATCGGGAGAATGAGTCGAAGACTTGACTCTTTCTCTTTTTCATCTTATATTATGAAACAATTTCGATATAGTTAACGTATTTTAAAACAGATGACGATTACTAGAAGCTTAAGAAAGGCTCATCGGGCCCAAGTAATCGGGAGAATGAGTCGAATACTTGACTCTTTCTCTTTTTCATCTTATATTATGAAAGAATTTTGATATAGTTAAAGTATTTTAAATCGGATGACGATTACTTGAATCTTAAGAAAGGTTCATCGGGCCCAAGTAATCGGGAGAGTGAGTCGAAGGCTCGACTCTTTCTCTTTTTCATCTAAGTATTTAGAAAATAGGTTTGATATGAGTTGTAAAATAGTTTGATATGAATCGAATTATAAATTTTGGAGAAGACAATTGTTCGAGCGTAAGAAATGCTCCTCGGACCCAAACAATTAAGTTCATTAAGTTGACTTGATAAAATGATCGATATATTCTATGTATAATTAAGTTCATTAAGTTTATTCCAACTCCCTTTTCAACTTCATTCCAACTCCCTTTTCATCTTTTATTGAAATATAGTCTATGTATAATTAAGTTCATTAAGTTGACTTGATAAAATGATCGATATTGATGGAGGTTTAAATTTTGCATTTGAAACGGTGTAAACTTTTAAAAATAATAGAAAAGTCCTAATCGTATAAGATAACGTGGCAGGACGACATAAGATTGTCGAATCTAATAAATTCAAATTCAATTTAACTCAAAGAAATTAAATGATCACAAATATTTACATGAAAAATATTTACAAGATTTACAAAGATATTTAGTCAATCTACCAAAAATATTTATATCATATGGGTGCAAGTAGAAAACATTAAATGGCCTTAGGCAAATGGTAAAGCCCAACACTTAAAACAAAATTTTTCTAATAATCTATAATAAACAAACATGAACGTTGCTAAATTGGGAATAGCAACTTCCATTCTCATAATCAGCAAGTTAGCTTTCCAAAATAGTAATAATGATAATAAGAAGAAGAAAATCAGAAGTGCTAATAAAAAGTAAGAAATTCCTATATCACCAAGTTCAAAAAAATCCAATTTTAAACTCAATGCAATGAAACGAAATGAGACAGCAGCAACATATTTACAACTATTACCAAAACAAGTTGTGTTATTCAATATAAATTACCCACAAAACTACTTCTTATTAATATGCTAGCAACACAATATCAGACTCAAATGGAACAACAAAGCATCAGTATCAAATTTCAATCTGGTATCAAAAACTTTAAAAACAAGAAAACATAAATAGCAGTAACAACATTAAGATTGCACCAGACACATTTAGCATCAGTATCAAAGGGATTCCATCTACAATATAATTATCTGTGACACATTCTCGGCGCCGTATTTGCTACCATTGTTGTTGAGGCAGACGAGTGGTTTGAGCTACTGAGTTTATTGTTGTGCTGCACACGCGACGGTTGACGAGTCGATGCGGTTGGTGTCGACATAATGGCGCATAAGCGAGTTGTTGATGGTGAAAGAATTAACACGAATTTACCACGCTTGTAACGGATCATAACGACATACGCGCCACAAACTTCATGTTTCTTGCAGCATCCTAAACATGTACATTGAACCGTAAATGAAACCGAAAGCTCACGTTACTAAACCACTTTGCAACGGCAGCAAACCCGATTATGACTAAAGGACAGATCCTTCAATAATTTTCCACCCTGAACCTGAGTAAGATGTTTCATATCTTGTTGTGTAGGTTCTGCTGTTAGAAGCACCATGTTGCGGATGACCTGCAGCAGTGAGGTGTATAGATTCTTCTCTTTGAGGACTACAATGTTAGGATCAGGATCTCTATATTTACGGAAGTCCTAATGGTTAAACAGGTGATAGAATTTGGAGGACGGAAACAACCAGCTCGTCACTTGTTTCTATCAAGGTAATCCAGGTAATATTGGTTGTTAGAGGCTTGCTACATCCACGCACACGGAAACGAAGCGCAGAGATGTGTCTGCTGTGGAAAATGAAATAACTGAGTTGCTATGAATCTTTTACCGAAAATAAACTAGAGTCAAATTCGATTCATTCTCAAGGTGCACCGTGTAATTCTGAATCGAAAACGTCAAGGCAGTGGAAGACCTTGGTTGAGAATGAATGATGGTGGTGCGAAATGGTGTTGCAGCAGGGGTGAGAGTTTGTGGATGTTAGCTGCAGGTTAGAATTCTTTATTTCATTGAGGGACCAGGATAGTATGGACAATTTCTTCTTTATAAATGACTCAATCTACTTTCGAAAGTAATCGGCTC